GTACACTAAAATGAATTTTACTGCACACAAACGCAATCTAATACCCAATTTTTTTGTAAAATATTGAAACTGATTAGTAAATAGATACCAATGTGTCAAGATTTAAAATTACACATGCCCATGATATGGCATCAAATTTCGGTACCTAAAATTGTCCAGAGGTGATACTGCCTACCAGGGGAGGACTGACAACTCATGGGCCCCCCGGGCAATAGGGGACCATGGGGCCCCTGTGTCCTTGCACAAACTCAAAAAAGCCTATGAAAAAGGTACCAGGGGCATCTCTTTCGGCCCCCAACTGACCCCGGGCCCTCGGGCAGTGCCAGAGTTTCCAAATGGTCAGTCCGCCCCTGCTGCCTACTGTCATTCAAGTTGTGATAGCACTGAAAGCTGAAAATTGGCCTGGGCAGGGAGGGGTAAAAGTGCCCGGTATTGTGGTTGGAAACAGTGGAAGAAAAAAGGCATGAAAAATGCAGCCTTTTAAATTCTATGGAACACCTCACACCAGTCAGTTGCATTTACATTGCATTTTTAGACTGTTTTCACATTGCTCCTTTGCAAAAAAGTGTTTTTGACATGTTTTTCATGTTTTTAGTGCATTTTCTCATTGCATGTTCCTGTGAAAATGCACTTTTCACTCAAAAAAGGCACCAAAGATGCAAATAAAGTGCATTTTTGGGTGAATTTTTTGCCATATTCATTTCATTGGGGAGCTACTTTTTTGGTGTGGTTTTGAAAAGCGCACCAAAGATACAGCAAGCAGCAATTTTCATAAGGCATAGCACCCACAGGTCAGTGGTGTGAGATTTAAAGGGAAACTTTTTTCTTGCATTTTTCTTCCATTTTTATCAGAGTGAAAATGCAGCACTAATGCATTAGTGTGAAAGCAGCCTTAAAAGTCCTGCTTGCTGCATTTTTAGTGCGTGTTTGGCGCATGTTAAAAAACACACCAAAAATGCACCTCCCCTTTGAAATGAATGGAAAACAAATCAAAAATGCATCACGTTTGCATTTTTTATGTTTTTTAGAGTCACATGTCCATTTTATACCAACCATAAAATGCACTGGAAACGCATGAAAACATCAACACCAAATGCACATGTGTTTTTACTATGTTTTTGCAATGGTGCAGAGTGAAAGCAGTCTATAATCCCTTTATGACATTATTGTTTTCCAGTAGAAGGATAATCCACTTGCTGCTCTTACTCATTTCCCTCCACTAGAAGCTTAATTATAGATCATGTAAAGCTAACCACACAATCTGATCGTACAATGACCTTGAGCCTGGGTTTACACTTCTGCGGTGCGGCATATCACATGTGATTTGCACAGGAACCACACCACATTCCTGTACAAATCACATGCGAATTATGTGCGGTGTGTGATTTGGGCCATACATTTCGGGGTGTTGTTAATATACACACTCACAGCAGTTCATATGAATGGGGTGCGATTGTGATGCAGTGCGGAATTCGCAGAGAAACTGGTGCAAATTCTGCACCGCATCAGTGTGAACCCAAGCTGAAAGGATAAGTTCATCTTTTATAAAAAATAATAAATGCACATTTTGCTAGTAAAGAAATGTGCATTTACTATTTTTTTTTTACAAGAGCCTGTAAAGCATTGCAGCCGATCTCTGGTGATCTCTATAGCGCTTCACAGTACATATGGACAATGATCCAAAACACACTGCAAAAGCAACCCAGGAGCTTTTAAAGGAAAAGAAGTGGAATATTCTGCAATGGCTGAGTCAATCACCTGATCTCAACCCCATTGAGCATGCATTTCGCTTGCTGAAGGCAAAACTAAAGGCAGAAAAACCACAAACAAAGAACAACTGAAGACAGCTGCAGTTAGAGTCTGGCAAAGAATCAGAAAGGAGGAAACCCAGTCTTTGGTAATGTCCATGGGTTCCAGACTTCAGGCAGTCATTGCCAGTAAAGGATTCTCAACAAAATTTTACAAATGGACATTTCATTTATGATCATATTCATTTGTCCAATTACTTTTTGTCTCTTGAAAAAGGGGGATGGCTACTCTTAAAAGCTGTAATTCCTAAATCCTTCCTCCAATTTAGATGTACATACCCTCAAATTAAATCTGAGTGCGCACTTTCAGCCCATATCCATTACATAACTATAGCTTGAATATGTTTTCGTAAATACCTGAAAAAATAAAATTGTGCCTGTGTCCAAATATATATGGACCTAACTGTATACTCAGAAATGCCAAATGAGCACAGGCATATCATATCCGACATGAGGTCCACGTGCAAGAGGATGCTTGAAAATGACTGCTGCATTCCGAGGGGAGATCCCCTCTTCCTCAGAGCCTGTTTTTTGTGTTTCACACTCACCCCTTTTATATGTCATTAATTGACTGAGACCCCAGTCTATGCAAATGGATACCTCCCATGCAGAGGGCGGATCAAATCACTAAGGGTTGTGTACCACAACACCAAAACATAATAACCAAGACAGGTCATAACAACATGAAAGTATAAGCACATGCAAAGTCCTTGTTATCCTTTAAATCTATCAACAATTGTGTAGTGTAAAGGCTGATCGAGTAGAGATTGATTGGACAGTTATGCAGGCCATAGACGGGTCAAAAATCGGCCAATTTTCGCACCGTTAGTGGGTTAATTGGTCGGCTGTTTTTCGGGGTTTTGGCACATATTTTTTATCGGTCAAGTTGGAAAATTCGAGGCCGATTTTCCTGGCAATGATGGACAAATCGGACGATTGTTTTACCGATAAAAAATCTGCGCATGAGCCGTGACCTGCAAGAAGAGGAAAAAGAAGAACAAAAGAAAAGTAGAAGAAAAAAAGAAGAAGAAAAAGAAGAAGAATTCCAGTCCGCTATTATATTTTATATGAAAAAGTCTTGCGGTTGCAACAATGTATCTATTTGTATATGAATAAAACATCTGTCCGAAATGGATACAAATGGATACATTGTTGCAACCGCAAGACTTTTTCATGTAAAATATAATAGCGGAGCTCTCTGCAAGGGACAGAAGCAAAAATGCCGGCCATAGAGGGGATGAAAATCAGCCAATTTTTTTACCGTTGGTGGTAACGTCGGCCGATTGAATTACCGATTTTTCCTTAAAAAAATGGCCGGTTTTCGACCCGTCTATGGCCTGCATAAGGTAGGTCCTCATGTTACATTGGTTGGTAAATCTACAGTTCATTGAACAGTGAGATTGCAATGTGTATGGTGATCCAAACATGCCAAAAATATAATTGTCTGGAATCCATAATAAGGAATATACTAAATTACAGTTTAAAGATATTTATATTTTAAATGTAAAAAACTTCTCATACAAGGAGCCAACTTTACTCCATGAATGCTATCTTATAGACTGATAGTATTTTTATTATAATGAGCACTATAGGAAAATACTGCTACTGGCATCACAAGCCTCTCTAACCCCCAGTTCACATATATGCGGACTGTGTGGGCAGCGTTTTGCATGGGCACGAGAGCCCGTTCATTTCAATGGACTCCTGTGCCCCGTGACACGCAGGGAAAAAGTCCCTGCACTTCTGAAAACGCAGCACTCATGGGAACCTCGGTTCCCAGTACGGTTGCGATTTCCAGTGCGGGCGGCGTGCCATTAGAACTAATGGCACCCGTCCGCAGGTCCGCATTCCTCTGTGCAGGTGGTGCAGCTGCACGGATTTTCATGCGAATCTGCAGCAGCACCACCCGCACAGATGTGAACCTAGCCCTATAGTGGAACTGCAGGCAAAACTTTGGTTTTTCATTTTAGTTAGAGTAAGGCTACTTTCACACTGACCTGCTGCAAAAACACATAGGTGTTTTTACTGCGCTTTTGGCGACTGTTTTTTTAAATGACACCTGACTTAAAAACTGCACCAAAAATGCTTCTGAGAGGCGTTTTTGAGGCATTTTTAGACGTCTTTAAGGCATTTTCTATTGATTTCAATGGCAAGAGGTGTTTTGGGATTTTTTATTTTTTAGTTAATTTAAGTTTTAACGCAACAAACATGCCCCAAAGATGCAGCAAGCAGGAGTTTTCAGGCAACTGTCACACTGAGGAGTTTTTGAAGCGTTTTTGCATTAAAAAAGCGCCTGAAAAGCTCAAGAAAAACGCTTCCCTATGTATGTGAATGTATATCTATGTTTTCACACTGAGGAATTGCACTTGTGGTGCGGTGTGAAAACTCCTGCTTGCAGCATCTTTGAGACTTGTTTGATGAGTTATAAAAAACGCCCCAAAAACACCTCTTCCCATTGAAATAAATGGAAAATGCCTAAAAAGTGCCTCAAAAACACATCTGGGAAGCGTATTTGGTGCAGTTTGTAAGTCACGTCCTTTAAAAAAGCTCAGAAAGTGCAAGAAAAGCGCAGTAAAAAGGCCTATGTGTTGTTGCAGTGCTTCAGTGTGAAAGCAGCCTTACACCACACCGCCTCAGTGTGAAAACATACGTAGATATACATTCACATACACAGGGAAGCAATTTTCTTCAGCTTTTCAGGTACTTTTTTTTAATGCAAAAATGCTTCAAACACTCCTCGGTGTGAAAGTAGCCCGAGGGAGGGTTATAACCCTGCTGTCAGAGTCTACAACAAAATGTCCGCCCCCATGGACTGGGGACAGTCTCCTTCACAGACGTTTCATGGAGATTGTTATGTATTCTATTAACTAGGAGCCCTGCCAGCAAGTCACGGGGTCTCTTAGCCACTACCCTGGTCTAAGGGGGTGTGGCTGTTTGAGGGACGGCCATTGAGAGTGTCCTATAATCCACGTGACGTAGTGGGAAGGCGGAGATGTGTGTGTATGTTGTGTTCCGGGTAGCATAGACCGCTCTGATTCTTCCACGGTTTTATCGCTATTGCTGGATTCTCCGCTCTTCTGCCCGCTGCTCGGGTTGTGTGACTAGACGACCTAGGGGGGGCGGTGTCATCCGGTGTGCCGGCGATCAGCAGATGGTGCGACTTGGTGGCGCTGTTCCCTGATTGGTCAAGAGATGTTGTGTCGCGCTCTGGGGGCGGGACTGCGGGGCGGAGCGCATGTCTTGGTGAAGAGCCCCGGTGTTGGCTGCAGTGTGAGCCGTGCTGTGCAGGAGAGCGTGTGCGGAGTGCCAGGGAGCAGGTGAGAGCAGAGTGGGGTGACAGAGAACGGGAGCCCTAGAAGTGTCCGGTGCCTGGCTGCCCTCAGGAGGGTGACAACCGATATGTCAGCGAACTAATGTTACCCGCTGACAGTGAGCTGTTATTGCACCGACGTCCCGGTACAGCGGATCTGTTGTGTCCGTTATACGGCGATACCGGAATACTGAACTGCTTGAACCGGGGAGGGGAGCTGCAGTTATAGCTCTGTGCCACTGTTATCCGATCAGGCTGCCCGTCCCAGTAATAGCCCATAGAGAGGAGAGGAACCCCGCCAGTACCAGAACCCAGTCAGTACCATCAATGGGCCCATAGAGCGGAGAGTAACCCCGTCGGTACCATCAATGGGTCCATAGAGCGGAGAGTAACCCCGGCGGTACCATCAACGGTCCCGTAGAGCGGAGAGTAACCCCCGGCGGTGAACGGTCCCCGGGGAGTAACCCCGTCGGTACCATCAACGGTCCCGTAGAGCGGAGAGTAACGGGAGTAACCCCCGTCGGTACCATCAACGGTCCCGTAGAGTAACCCCGTCGGTACCATGAACGGTCCCCGGGGAGTAACCCCGCGGTACCATCAACGGTCCCGTAGAGCGGAGAGTAACCCCGGTCGGTACCATCAACGGTCCCGTAGAGCGGAGAGTAACCCCCGCGGTACCATGAATCCCAACGGGGAGTAACCCCCGTAGAGCGGGGAGTAACCCCGTCGGTACCATGAACCCCGTAGAGCGCGGAGTAACCCCGTCGGTACCATCAACGGTCCCGTAGAGCGGAGAGTAACCCCGGCGGTACCATCAACGGTCCCGTAGAGCGGGGAGTAAGTAACCCCCGGCGGTACCATCAACGGTCCCGTAGAGCGGAGAGTAACCCCGGCGGTACCATCAACGGTCCCGTAGAGCGGAGAGTAACCCCCGGTCGGTACCATCAACGGTCCCGTAGAGCGGAGAGTAACCCCGTCGGTACCATCAACGGTCCCGTAGAGCGGAGAGTAACCCCCGTCGGTACCATGAACGGTCCCGTAACGGAGAGTAACCCCCGTAGAACGGTCCCGTAGAGCGGAGAGTAACCCCCGGCGGTACCATCAACGGTCCCGTAGAGCGGAGAGTAACCCCCGGTCGGTACCGGTCCCATAGACGGAGAGTCCCGTAGAGCGAGAGAGACCCCGTAACCCCCGTAGAGCGGAGAGGTCGGTACCATGAACGGTCCCGTAGAGCGGAGAGTAACCCCCCGGTCCCGTAGAGCGGAGAGTAACCCCCGTCGGTACCATCAACGGTCCCGTAGAGCGGAGAGTAACCCCCGGCGGTACCATGAACGGTCCCGTAGAGCGGAGACGGTCCCGTAGAGCCCCCGTCGGTACCATCAACGGTCCCATAGAGCGGATCGGTGAACGGTCCCGACCCCGGGGATACTATCCGCAACCCCTCTATGGGCCCATAGAGATGGTACCGACGGGGAATACTATCCGTAGAGCAACCCCTCTCTACCATGAGCCCATTGTCGGTCAACCGACGGATGGGTTACTATCCGCTCTATGGCCCATTGATGGTACCGACGGGGTTACTATCCGCTCTATGGGCCCATTGATGGTACCGACGGGGATACTATCAATGGGCCCATAGAGCAGATAGTAACCCCGTCGGTACCATCAATGGGCCCATAGAGTGGATGGTAACCCCGTCGGTACCAGCAATGACCCTAATAAGTGGCTAGAGAGGCAGTCCATATCAGTAATACACCAATGGAGTAGCTAGAGGCTGTAAGAAACATACAAAGAGAGGGCGCACCTCCTCCTCTCACATTACCATAAAATCATTTCATTGAAATAAAAATATTTTCTCGAAGGTAAATATAACATCAACGATCCAACAACAAGTAGGGTCCAATACCTTAATCAGAGATGTTCTGCCCTGGAAACACGTAAGCCTCCTCCATACACATGGGCATCACTTGTACAAGGTATTGGACTCTACTGGTTGGATCATTGATGTGCCTATTTATACTTACCTTGTGTGATAATATTTTTATTTCAATAAAATGATTTTATGGTAATGCTTTAGGCTGGTGTGCCCTCTCTTTGTGTTTTGTTTGAAAAGCAGCACTGTCATCATCATTTATCAAGGATTCTTGAAGCCATTTTAACACTTCATAAACATAAAACACATCATAAATGCATCAATAGGGTATCTGATGTGAAGAATACATGGGAAGATGTATTTCTTCCTTTGACTTTTATTATATATGCAGGACTAGGGGTCGGCTATTCCTTTAGCACTGGTGGTTTGTTTGAGTAGCTAAAGAGACTGTCTGTACTAGGCATGCTCCTATAGAGCAGCTAGTGAGTCTGTCCGTACAGTAATAGCTCAATAGAGCAGCTAGTGAGTCTGTCCGTACAGTAATAGCTCAATAGAGCAGCTAGTGAGTCTGTCCGTACAGTAATAGCTCAATAGAGCAGCTAGTGAGTCTGTCCGTACAGTAATAGCTCAATAGAGCAGCTAGTGAGTCTGTCCGTACAGTAATAGCTCAATAGAGCAGCTAGTGAGTCTGTCCGTACAGTAATAGCTCAATAGAGCAGCTAGTGAGTCTCTACGTACAGTAATAGCTCAATAGAGCAGCTAGTGAGTCTGTCCATACAGTAATAGCTCAATAGAGCAGCTAGTGAGTCTCTCTACGTACAGTAATAGCTCAATAGAGCAGCTAGTGAGTCTGTCCGTACAGTAATAGCTTAATATAGAGCAGCTAGTGAACTTGTCTTGGCCAATTGAGCAGCTGGGGAGGCTTCCATACAAGTAATGGGCCAATAGAGCAGTCCGCTGGCAGCAATCACGGAAACTTTCTTACAAGTTGCAGAGAGACATGCTGCTATTCAGGGATCCATAGTCACTAGACAGAGGAATTGTCCTGCTCTGCCTGCAATAGCAGTCGGCTTGATTCTGTCACTAGCTGGTAGAAGTTACAGAAGGATAACCCTATAAAAGAAGAGGACACAGTGATGTAAGAGGCTGGTGCACAGTGGTTTACACACCATCACTATGTGTCACACCCAAAAGTTTTGGATAGCAGCGGTGGCTGTACCTCATAAAGAGCAGAGATTTCCTTTTTTGCCTGGTGGAAAGGTAAGTATTCATTTTCTTCTTTTTACAGGGTTATTCTACAGTGACCTCTGCCAGCAAGGAATGTGGTCACTTTTCCGATCTCAAACCTTTCCTAAGGCTGGCCATACACTATACAATTTTCTGTCCAATTTCTGCCCAATTTCCTTTAGATTTATCTTCAACTATGTAGTGCAAGGGCCTGCCTGAATGGATACAGCTGAAAGTGTTGTTTAGGTTTGACCTCCTATTATATGGTTTTTGGTAAATCTAAATCAAAATTCTCATAAATTGTATAGTGTATGGCCAGCCTTACAGAAGCTTGGAGGTTGTGTTGCTGATTCTCATTTATACTTGCATTATCAGTTGACTCTAGCAGATTGCTCTGAAGTGTTGCATATTGTGTATCGACTCTGTAATGCAGCCTTTCATAACTAGGGTTCCTCCAGATATTGCCAGGAGTTCCTTGAGCACTGAGCAGCTTCTGCCTTTCAGATAAGTGAGCACTGACATCCATGATCTTTTTAGCTACCTGTAAGGGGGTGAGTCTTCCCAATAACCACTATCCTAGTGTACAGTGAAATGTAGATATGTTTATTAACCATTTCAATACTGTGCAATTTTACACCTTCCTGCCCAGGCCATTTTTCAGGATTTCAGCGCTCTAACATTTGAATGACAATTGCGTGGTCATACAACATTGTACCCAAACTAAAATTTTATCATTTTCTTCACACAACTAGAGCTTTCTTTTGGTGGTATTTACAAACCGCTGGGGTTTTTATTTTTTGCTAAATTAACAAAAAAAAGACCAAAAATGTTACACTTTTTCTTTGTTTGTTATAAAAGTTTACAAATAAATAATTGTTCTTGATAAATTTAGGCAGAGATGTATTCTGCTACATGTATTTGGTGAAAATAACCCAAATTAGGATGTATTTTTTAGTTTGTAGAAAGTTATAGCGTTCCAAACTATGGTATAGATCTGAATATTGATCAATCCTGAAGTACTGACGGCCAATCTAATTTTTTGAGGTCCAAGAATGTCAGAATAGTACAGATACCCCCAAATGACCCCTTTTTGCAGAGTAGACAGTCCGACGTACTTCATAAGAGGCATGACAAAGAGTTTTTTGAAGTTGTATTTTTTTTGTCTTTTTCGGAAAATTAAAATGTTTAAAAAAATTATTTTCACTATTTTTTTTTTTTTTTACATACTGTCACAAATGCATACAGCGTCATCTCTGGCATGCGGTGAACAGGGACACTGACTGGAGACAGTATGACAAAAAAAAATATATTTTCCCTATTAATTATGAACTTTACTTTTTAAGATTTTTTTTCATACACTGCCAAAGTAGTACAATGTAACAGAACAAGTCCTTTGGGGAAGTGATCAGATTAGGGCTACACAACTAACAAAGAATTATGTTCATTTACCTGAATGAAATCGATTCATTTAGCTTTTTTTTTTTTTTTTTTTTGTGCTTAGCTGTGATTTGGTCACAGCTAATCACATGACAAGTGCATGTGATTATCTGTGACCATTCACAGCTAGGCACTAGTATACAATGTAAATGGCATGAATGAAGCAATTTTATTGTATACAACTGTCATGTGACCTGCTGGTCAAATATAATGAAACCAGCTAACGGGGGGTAACAGATCTGTCATCGGCACGTGTCCGAGTAATGAAGAGAGATGCTCTGCTGCTGCTCTGCATTAGCGCAAACCGCGCATATGCGGGAAAAAGTTAATTTACTTTTGAAGCCGCCAAACGGCCATTTCAAAAATGTTAACATGGGCTCCCTGATCCTGGGAAGTATTTAGAAGATCCTCCGTGTTAAATAGGTAGAAAGTGGTTGCAGTAATGCATAGTAATTGTCAGGTATATGCTATATACAACATGTTTGAGTGGTTGCAAAATTACTTGTCTGTCTGCCTTTTGATTTGTGTATTTTAGTTTGTTACAATTGTATGTTCGTGTTTTCCAGTATTAGGAGACGTCTAGCAGCCATGCCTGAGGTAGACACAGATCCCTGGATGAGAAGCAGGTCCAGTTGCTGGCTGAGATGTGTATTCTAAAGATGAGAATGACAAGAAGATTGGAGCCGATACCAAAAAAAACTTGCCATCTTAATGTCAACATTGACAAAGGTAAGATAGCTAAGACTTCTGATATGCTGTTTGGGCTATGTTTGAAATAAACTCCCAGTGACAAGACCTGCAAAAATATGCAGCCTCTCGGTAAACACACACTGAAGATCGAATATATGATTCCCTAGGTAAACAGGGGTTTATTGTGCTAACACTGCCAGCACTGTAAAAGACACAAGTCCTGGAAAGCTCCCTTAGGGCTCCAACTAACAGTTATTTTCATAATTGATTAGTTGGCTGATTATTGTTTTGACTAATATAATCCAAAAACGAAAATTTTGTTATATAATTTAGTTAATATGTAAAGTTAAAAAAAGACAATTTTTATTCTTGAATATCTATATGCACTAGTAAATATAAATAACCAGCTATATGGTTGGGGAACAAAATATCTAATCCACTCCGAGAATAACAGAAGAGATGTACAGGTGCATCTAAATACCTTTTAGATATCCGGAAAAAAGTTAATTTATTCAGTAATTCAATTCAAAAAGTGAAGCTCATATATTATACAGTAATCAAAAGAGCAAAAAGTGAGCGCTTAAAAGCAAAAGCAGTCAAAGCACTTAAAGGATACCAAATAACCTTTCCAAAATCAAAATATATAAAAAGGTGCCGCGCTAAAATTCAAAATGCTTAAAAAATATATACTCATCCATATAAGATATGCTATGAAATAAAGTGCCCAGTGTCAAGATGCAAAAAAAAAAGATCGTAAAACACACAAAAGATCAATTATGATTCAAGTACATATAGTGTCAGTGACAGTGCCAAAATAGCATATAATCAAGTGACTAGTGTGACCACATATATAATCCGTCACTGCCAGGGTGACACGTAGTGTAATCCTTATAGGAATAGTCCTAATGTAGATGTGTGAGACTGAATTCTCTCCATAAAGAGTGCTCCTTCCAAGCCATGGTGGTATAACCGGTAAAAAGTGAAGGCTGTGCTCTCACCCTCTATGTATGACTGCACATTTAGAGACAATATTCTCTAATTGACATGCTGATGGCTCCTGTGTACATGGGTCTGGCCAGGTATTCCTCTCACCCTTTCTCCTGCTGGCAATATGGCTCAGTCTCCCCTCTATGTATGGCTCTGTGGAGTAGAGTAAGCAGTGTGACATGAGGGAAAAAAAAACACTGACCATGAGGTGAGTATGAAGATGGCCGCCGGGACACTCGTGGTGCCGGCGACATAACGTCACGATGCTGTAGCTCCTTACTGACGCGTTTCGTGCTAATTGCACATCATCATAGGGGGTATGCTTCAGCGTCTGACAGATCATAGCGTCCTTAAATATCGTAAATGGTGCATGCGCATTACGCGTGCGCCATTTTGTCTAAGAGATATGTCTCCATATCAGGTGCCATTTTGTTGGAGATCAGTAAGATCACGCATGTGCAGGCGCCATTTTGCGGACCCGTGAATACGAGTCAGTGCCATTAGATCACCAGGGAATGCAGAAGTTGAGTGATGATATTATAAAATACAAATAAGTATGGTGGGTATAAACGGACGATATTGCAGCCAATTAAAGTGAGAAAAAAGTGAAGTCCATTGGTAAAATTGTCAATAAAATTCGCCCTAAATGAATCACTGCACGTGCGCGCTAATTTCCTATACTGTGCATGTGAAAAGTAGTTGACATGCAGCTGGTATCATAGCTAATGTATGTTAATATGATAGCATCCACCATTCTTATGCATTGCCAAAACTGGGTGATAATAGATGGCACAGATATTGCTACAAATTAAATAATCAAATAGAAACATAATGAAACATGTATTTATTTATTCAATTTCTAGCCTGTAGTTCAGCGTTAATTTTAGTGTTTTATAGCATTTACCCCCATTTTAGAAACACTATATTTTAGGTCATTGCAAAATTTTTTATTTTATTTTTTTTTTTTCCATTTTTTAATTTTTATTACAATGGTTTATTGTAATATATTTTTTTTTTTTTTCACTTCATTTTTATCCTCTTATTTTTATGGGAATTCTATTCTATTTATTTTTATTTACTATGTATCAATAAAGGTCTGTTCTATATTCACATAAGGTGTATATATAGAACATTGTACATGTTATGAATGCATTTTTATGTATATTTTCATGTCTTAGATTTCTATATATCATTTATATGTTTCAACTGGATTGCCGATCTGCCATTACTGTAATACTAAGATCTCATCATCAACCACCATATTATTAAATGTGAATTGCAGGGGTGAGACTGCATTAAGATAAACAGATGAGATGGAAGTGTATGGAGTGAGGGGGGTATGGAATGCCAGGTATCACCAAGTAAGTCTCCAAAAGGCTCATCAATGAAACAATAAAGGAGGGTGCCCACTTGATGTAACTACCCTCCCCCTTTTCACCAAGCCAATGCCAACATCATAAGTCCATACTTACTATAGGTATTCAAACATCAAGTCCCATTAGCTCAGCTAATCAGCTAGGTCAAGTTGAGAACTCCACACAGAAACCATGGCCACCAACAAGTTTAAGAGATAAGAAATAAACTTCAGTCGAGTCTTCAAAAAAAATGTTACACAACTATTTAAGTGTTGGGTCAGACATTACCAAATGCTTGTCTGTCACATCACATTTCTATTTCAGAATATCTAAAGAGCCCAGAATACCGGCACACTCTGTTATGCAAATAGTAACCAGTTTCCTGCTCATTGACTCCAGCCTGCTGCATCCTGTGCCTTACTATAAGGCCATCATTGTGATGGCTGGTCTCGCTTACCAGTAGTAGGTGCAAGAGGGGGGTGGGCTGGAGCATGTGGCAAAGAATTAGATTTTTGTGTTGGAGGATGTTAACCTTTTGGGATTCATCAATGACAGCCCTCTGAGATGATCAATCACCAAATATTAGAGGAGAGATCTTGCAGTTGCACCTGTAATGCTGCATCTAAAGTACGAGTTGAGCAGTCAGGATAGGGTGGCTCAGGGTACAATAATTCTGAATGAGACACTTGCTTTTGACATTGTACCTGGAAACATTTTCTGAGTTGCCATTCTCATTCTTTACAGGTCTGCTGCACAGAGCGTTTAGCGTTTTCTTATTTAATACAGAAAATAAACTACTGTTACAACAGAGGTCCGATGCCAAAATCACGTTTCCAGGTTTGTATCACCAGAAGAATGAAGCAAAATTTTAACTGATCTTTGCATTCAGGGAATTCCCCTTGGTGGGAGCTCAGTATGGTGCAATATGGTCTTTAATCTCTTCCCAGCATATATGTGGCCAATGGGCCTTAACGCCAGTCTGCCACACTTGTGCATCCATGTGACTCTGAGGTTCTCTGCTGAGAGTGTGCTTCTACACACTGACTGAGCTGTCTCCAACAGCTCCTGGTCATTGTGATCATTAGTCAGAGGGACAGGCTCCTGTTCCAGTGACTGCTGTGACAGTGATCACATGATCAGGAAGCCACCTCCGCGTTCTGATGTTCACACCTACTTAAAGCACCTCTGTTAGACTGTGCATGGGGCAATCTGAGCCTAGAAAAAAAAAATTAAAACCGCTAGTGGGAGCATTAAGTTAGAGTACACCAACTTGCTATATTTAGTGTGGTCACTGTAACCTAGATGAACCTAACAAAAAAAAAAAAAAAGCATGTTGCTGCAGCATGGCCACTGCAGCCAACCAAAGGATCACTTTAATGAAACATGTGGCATCTAATCACTATTTATCTAGAAAAGCATAATTTATTATTAAAAGCATTATTTATGTATTTTACTCGAGAGAATGCAATAATCAAAAAATAATCCTCCTTTAATAAAATGACAACGTTGACAAAAAAACTCTCATCCCATGTCCAGACGTCAAATGGCCACCGCATTCAACTTCTAACCCCGAAGGTATGACTAAACTGGCCAGTATAGTATTAAATAAACCCAATCGGGTTGTACACAATTACTACAGGGATCGTGGAAATCTACTTTGAATGTTTGAGGTATTGTTATCCCTTAAAGACAGAATAATCACATTTAAGTGAAGTCCCCAAATAAGAAAGGAAGCAACCAAACCTCCCTACAAAAAGGTATAACATATCTGACTAAAAGTCAATAATGGGTCTCTGTGCCACGGTTCATGAGAAGCATGTTACTGAATGTATAATGCTCAAAATTCTTCTCAAAGGGATAATAATCCTTATATCTGGGAATCTGCAATAACAGACAACCAGTTGGTGACTGCCTCCTGTAAATTTACTGCTACGGGGTGGCTGCTGTGTGTATATATACGTGATCCATGCTCCCGGGCAAGAGGTGCTGTGATTTGGTATAGCACCTGATCAGTCATCTGGTTCAGGCCATTGATTTTTGAGCTGGACCTGCTGATTGGTTGAACCGAATCAGAGATGTGCCTGTGTTTACAAAACAGACATGGGAGCTGGTGTAATCTTCTCTCCTGGATCCCTTTCGGTTACAGAGAGAAGAGAACAGATCAATGTGAGTCAAACCGCACACCTACACGACACAGATGGGTAGCTTGGACAATGGAGAAGAGATCCCTGCTAAGGTCAGGCGTACCTGACCCCATGCCCTGGTTGCTGAGGTGTTAGAATCGCGCGATTATTCTCATATGCAGAAGAGTGGCAGTACTAGTGCATACTACCTTTTGATGAGCTGGGGAGCACCAGCTTCTTAGGAAATGGAATTCACATTCACTTTTTTTGGGCCTAACCCTTATAATGGGCACTACAAAAAAGATAGAATTTTGGTCATATTAATCCACAGACCTGATTCATCATATGCCTGTATTCTCTACAGTAATGGCCAGGGGTAGGTATCAGCATATAATGTGATTTTATGCATTTCAACACAATACGCTGTCATCTTTGAGGTGACCCTGAAAATGATAGGCTCTACAAAATTCAGCCCTTCATAAATCACCTTTCCCAGAAATTCACAGATGTTTATACGCCCCAACAAAACATCTGTGTAGGTGAGCCCCTCATTCATTTTTCTGTCAGCCTTGCATTTCAGGCAGTACTGCATCTCCCCAGCAAGCGTGCCATATCTGGGGTCAAAATTTATAAGCTCTGTGAGAGGGCAACAGGCTATACGAGTTTTTTTTTAAAGGATTCACGAGAAAAAAGATAGTCATATGGAGCCCTCCAGATGCCCAGACTACATGGGAAGCAGTGGCAAGATTGTGTGGGACTTGGTGTCACCCTGCGGTAAGGTAAAGGGTCTAAGGTAAAGTCACACAATTAACAAAGGGTCTCAAAAAAATTTGGGTATTCTGGAAACTTATTGCATTTTGAGAGACCTTCAAGTCATAGGCCAGAAAGTTTGTTACAAAAAAAGTGAAAAAAAAAATGCAGTCATTGTATTGAGTCAATGTTATATTGTTACTGTGTGTTTTATTGTTAACTGTTGTTGTTTGCTTTTGCAGGAACACTGGTCAGTTGCAGCACTGATCTATTTAGTCTGACAGCAGCGGGGTGTTGCTCCCTGAATACATATGTCAATGCTTGCAGTGCTGCTGGAAGAGATTTCTCATCCGCGGTTTAAAAAAGAACATATATGTCCAAGCATGAGGGGCATGGAGTGGTCAGTGGGCAGGTCGCTCCTATGCTATGGAATATTTTTTTAACTTTTTTGGTAGAGATTTTTTCATCCACGTCAATCGATGTGAATGGAGGAGTCTATTAGGTTCTTTTTTTTTTTTTTTTTCTCATGCATGCAGCCCACAGGCTGCATGGAAAATAGAACGTTACTTACAGTTGTGTTAAAAATAATAGCCGCGTGTTTAAAAGGTGAGCTCAAAATCCAAAAATAGCTTTATTTCCATACACGCAGATGCATTAGGAACACTGCACAGTCTATTCCAAATCAAAACATGAAGAAAAATGTTTCATATTTGTTATTACTTTGCAGAAAGTGAAGAAAAATGAAAATTAAGCTGTTAAAAAAAAATGGCAGTGTCTGCATTTTTCTTAGAAACTCAAACATTTTCTGTATAAAATGAAAAAATGCTTAAATACTTGGCTTTCCTATGAACCATGGAACTAAGATTTAGTTGTATAAGCACTGTTTCTGAGAACTGCTTCACATCTGTGTTCCATGGATTTGACCAACTTCTGGCACCTGTGAACAGGTATTCCAGCCCAGGACGATTGCACTGCATTTCTTCATTTTACATCAGAAACAGCATTTTTGTTAACCCAATAAAAAAATTAGATTAAGGTCCGGGGATTTAGCTGGCCACTCCATAACGTTAATCTTGTTGGTCTGGAAGAAAGATGCTGCTCGCTTACTGGTGTATTTGGGGTTGTTGTTCTGTTGAAACACTATTTCAAGGGCATTTCCTCTTCAGCATAAGGCAGCATGACCTCTTCAAGTAATTTGATGTATTCAAACTGATCCATAATTCCCGGGGTGCTCTAAATAGCCTCAACACCATAATATGAGAAACATCCCCATATCATGATGCTTGCACCACCATGCTTCACTGTCTTCACAGTGTACTGTGGCTTGAATTCAGTGTTTGGGGGTCTTCTGACAAACCCCTAGACACAAAAAGAACAATCTTGTTTTTATCGGTCAACAAAATGTTGCGCTATTTCTCTTTAAGCCAGTCAATGTGCTCTTTGGCAAATTGTAACCTCTTCAGCACATATCGTTTTTTCAACAATGGGACTTTGCGGGGACTTCTTGCCAATAGCTGGGCTTCACATAGGCGTCTACTGTTACAGTACTCCTAGGTAACTTTAGACCTTCTTTGATCACCCTGGAGCTGATCATTGGCTGAGTCCTTACCATATTGGCTATTCTTCAATCCATTCGAATGATGGTTTTGGTTTTTTTTTTTTTTTTTTTTTTTTTTTTTTTTTTTTCCTTCCACGTCTTTTTGGTTTTGGTTGTCATTTTAAAGCATTTCAGATCATTTTAGCTGAGCAGCCTATCAGTTTCTGCACTTCTTTTATATGTTCCCCTCTCCAATCAACTTTTTTAAAGTACGCTGTTCATCTGAACAATGTCTGGAACAACCCATTTTACTTGCAGAACGCTATGGAAAACGCATGGGTGTGAACCTAGCCTAATGGCTATTTTAGTTGCTGGATTGCTTTTACAGGCAGTGAGAGGGGACTCCCCCCTCTTTTTCTTGGCTTTTTTGGGTTCTCATTTCCCACAGGGGAACCCAAGAATGCAGCAGCAGTTCTGCCTGCTTACCAGAGACCGGAGCAGTTCTGATCATCTCTATGGTCAAAGAAACTGTAAGCAATAAGCATTTCATCACTTTTCGTTTCGCCAGATGTACACGGCACCATCTTTAAATTGAGAGAGTGACCTTGGTGTAATCAGATTCTGTTAAGGGCAGAAGATAGGTCTGGGATCTGGGACACCAGATTTCTCTGTAAAGAATACCTGTCATTGTCCTATTTACATTCCCTGTGATAACAATAAAAGTGATACAAAGAAAATAAAGGGACAGTGTAAAAAAAAAAAAAAAAAAAAATTCAAACTCCCCTGCACCCTCCCTTTCCCTCAGTGCTCTTTCGCAAAGGTGAACGCACGCAAGTGTTTTTTTCCCATGAATTTGCTTTTGAAAAACTGTTGTGCAAATACCTTGTGACAAAAAAATTACGATACCCACCATTTTATTCTCTAGGGCCTCTTCTTTAAAAAATAAAGGGGTTGATTTACTAAAGCAAATATACTGTGCACTGCAAATGCATCGGCAAGTGCAGTTGCTCTAGATCTAAGGGGAAAGCTTTGAAATGAGGAGAAGCTCTGGTGATTTATGTCATCCAATCATGTGCAAGCAAAAATGCTGTGGTGTGGGGTTTTTTTTTATTTAATTTTTTTTTTTGTCCATGCATTTGATTTGGTATTCTTTGCAAAGTGAAGCTTTACCTCATTTACTATGTTGTGAAGCAACTGCACTTTGGTAAACAACTCCACAGTGTTTGGGTGTTCCAAGTAATTTTATAGCAAAAAACTTCTTTTTACATGTAAACAAAGTGTCAGAAAAGACTTGGTCTTCGAGTGGTTAGAGTGGGTGATGTATGGCAGAAGCTTCCAATGTTGGACATAAAATGCCAGGTTTTTGCTGAGGCGCATATTGAGTTCATGGAAGATTATATTTTTTGCCACAAGCTTTTAGAAATTGACAATTTTTTTTTTTTTTTTTTTGTGCACACAAAGTTGTCACCTTTTTAATTAGATTTTTCTCACACATGTCATGGGTAAATGTGGAATTACACCCCAAAACACATTCTGCTACTGAGTATGGAGAATACCACATGTGAGAGATGTTTTGGGAGCCTAGCTGCATATGGGGTCCCAAAACCAATTACCACCTTCAGGCTTTCAAAGGGCGTAATTTCTTCAAGTTTGCTTCTTCACTAACTATGACACTTTTGGAGGCCCAGAAATGCCAGGATAGTACAAACACCCTATATGACCCCTGTTTTGAAAAGTAGGAATCTAAGAGGCATGGAAAGTATTTTGCAGATCTCATTTGTTTCAAGTTTTTAGAAAATGAAGAAAGCACAAAAATGTATTTTTTTATTTCTTTTTTTCAGACCTCCGGTTTTGAATGGGAATTTCTGACTACCTTTTTCTAAGGTTTTTCTAACACCAAGTAGTGAAAAGAGGCCAACAGAAACACTTGGGAGTCCTTAGAAATGACTGATTTCTGGGTTTGGTCTTACCTGAAGGACACAAAGTTGATTTTAGAAGGGCCCCAACTTTAATGAAGTTACTGGCATAACGTAACATTGAGTGGCTAGAATGGCCTACTTTTTTTTTTTTTTTTTTTTTTTTTAAGAAATTTAAAAAGCTTCTTTCCATGTAGGAAATGCCCAATATATAAATGTTGTGGATGCAATGTAGTGCGAACAACAACAGTTTCAGTCTGTCATTAGCCAAAGGACTTATAAAGTTGATTCGTTCAAACCCTGTTCCACCAAGAATGTAGTGTACCTCCTGCAGTGCCCTTGTGCCTTGCAGTATGTGGGCAAGACCAAGAGGGCACTGCAGGTGACGACTGGCAAACATTTAACCAATATCAGAAAGGGCTTCAAGGACTACAGCCTGTAACAGCATTTTGCATTATGCCATCATAAGGATTTCACTTGATTGAAACTGGTAGGAATAGAGGGTTTTGTTGCACATTGGAGAGGAAGTATTAATGTAAAGGAGCTTTCACGATGTGAAACACATTGGATTAACCAGCTGAAGACCTATAGCCCATTAGATCTAAATATTGAGTGGGACCTCAAACGCTTCATCAATAATAGTTGAGAGATGCTGGGTTTTCACATGGACGGTGCTCGCCAATCAGAAGCCATCTAGCCCATACTGTCATCCCTGCAAGGAGAGGGGAGACAGCCCCAGGGATTTCAAATCCCCAGATCTGTGAAGCAGCTTTTCCTTGTGTGACAACGTGATCGGTGCAGGGAGAATTCCCACACCGCTCCTGTGTAACTTCAGGCTATGACAAGCCTGGGTTCACACAGGAGCAGTGGAGATACCGCATGCGATTTGGATGGGAATTGCACCACATTCCTGTTCAAATCTATTCTTTGTGGTGCAATTTGCTTCCATACATTTTGTAGACGCAAGTCGCACAGTAAAAGTATTGGTCCTCGGTATCCGTTAGTACATGACCGAAAGTATCGGTACTTGTTCTCAGCGATCAAAAAAGGGTATTGGTTCATCCCTATTGTCCATTCAACGATACTCTGTTGGCCCTTGGAAGATGTGCCGTTGGACGAAACCTGTATAGGGCTTTTATTACGTTCGCCTGGAAAGTTGGCGATGTTGTGCGATATGTTTGCCATACTGTTTTGTGAGTACCCACTTGGTTTATTAATACATGTTTTTAAATGGTATTTCACTATGGGATTTCTCTGCTCTTTCCTTAGTATGTATTTTTGCTGCTGAGACTGGTATATGAGAAGCAGTCCAGTGACCACTTTTGGGAAATGCCATTCATGAGAGAGTGAGGCTTGCTGAGGTGTGAGAGGAAGAGAGCCATACATCCATCTGGGATTTGTCATCTTTTTAATCCTGATTTAGACCTCCTTGAGTTGTGGGGTCAAAGGATTTGGTAAACCGCATTATAATCACTTGGTGCACAGCTGCTGCATGAAGATTTTGCACACTTCTGGTGGGCTTTGATATTTCGTTGAAACAATTTTATTTTGTTTCTTATCCACTATATATTGAATTAGATGTTTTCATTACAGCGCAACACTATCTCTTTTTTTTTTTTTTTTTTTTTTTTTTGATAGTTGTGTTTTCTTCATTAAATATTTAATAAATTATGCTTTTTTCATGTAAATGCCATGCTTCTAATAGTAATTCGTTAGTTGGTTGCAATGGCCCTGCAGCAACATGCTTTCTTTTTTGCTAGGCAGTCTGAGCCTACCAGATCTAAGATTGGTTTTGCGAGTTTGAAACCTTATAAAATATTTGTACATACGTATTGGCCCCCACATGTGTGGTTCAGTTTGGTGTACAAAAGTAGATTGTTGGGGCATTGCCAGTGGCACCTTGCACTGTGGGCACAAACAAATTTCTGTGCAGTAGAGAGGTTGACCTTGAGCTTACTGTATGGGTAGTCCTTGCTAAGTTGTTTGCATTTTCCTGACATCCCAGGTTGTTTTACAAACACGTGCTGTAGTCATCCCCTCAGTACACCCCTGGAAACAGAAGAGCAGGATGCTATAGGGGTCCGCCGAGCAGCACAAAGACGAATGAAGGCAGAGCTCGGGATACCAATAGAGCAGGTAAAAACATTTATGGTTGAAATTTACCAAACAAGGCACAAAGATTTTTTTTTTTTTATGCAAAGTGATCAAGCGTGCAATGTTTTGAGGCTATGCAGGACCTATTCATCATCCTCACAATTGTCTGATGAAGGTTGCGTGGCCTTGAAATGTTGCCCCCCCCCCCCCCCCCTCCATGTGATTTGATCACTTTGAATAAAAATGTTTGGATGCTATGCTACTTGATCCCGGCAGTCATTTAGTGATGCTTTAACCACTTCAGCCTTCGCTATGTACTGTTCGTCATCTGATTTGAAGTGGTTATCCCAGGATGATGCCTGAAGCTAAAGGCGTCATCCTGGTTTCTTTTTCCAGCTGGTGATGGACTTTAATGTAAAAGCCATTCTAGCAGCTTATTGGCTGCTGGATCACTTTTACAAGTGGTGGAAGGGAGTTCCCCATTCTCCGGTACTTTCCGGGCCCCTCTGTCCCACTGGGCAGCCCAGGACTAAAGCTGGTGGTTCCACTGACTCGCCATAGAGTTGTCTGAGAACCAGAATGTCTCTGATCATCTCTATGGTGTAAAAAAAAAAACAAACAAAAACAAGTGAAGAGTATTTTGTCACTTTCGTTTAATGTAAACAGATCATTACTGACATGTGAAAGCTTCAGATCAAACAGATCTTGGTTTGATCTGATGCTTTGAAGGGCAGAGGAGAGATCAGGACCTCAGATCACTCCATAAAAAGGACCTGTCCCTGCTCCAGGTATCACAAGGGATGTTCACCATAAAAGTGATTTAAAAAAAAAAAATGTAAGTGTACAAATAAATAATAAAAAAAACCAAATTGTAAATAAAGTACATTTTAAGTACCCCGTGCATACGTAAATATGTAGGTTGCGCACAAAAATTTAACCGGTGTTTGCACTACACATGTGAGGTATCACCGCAAATGTTCTAGTGAGAGCAATCATTTTAGCACCAGACCTCCTGTGCAACTCCAAACTGGTAACTTGTAAAGGCTTTTAAAACGTCTATGGAGATTTTAAAGTAATGTCATTTTGGTGCCATTCCACAAGCATACGCAATTTTAACCACTTGCCCTCCATAGGATTTACCCCCTTCCTGACCAGGCCATTTTTTTGCGATATGGCGCTGCGTTACTTTAAAAGACAATTTTGCGGTCATACCAATGCTGCACCCAAATGAAATTTGTGTTTTTGTTTTTTTTTTTTTTTTCCTCACAAATGAAGCTTTCTTTCGGTGGTATTTGATTGCCTGAGCATTTTTTTTTTTTATTTTTTGTGCTATGAACAAAAAAAAAACTGATAATTTTGAAAACAACGTATTGACTTTTTGCTGTAAAACATATCCTGTAAAGAAAATCTAATTTAATCCAAAATGTATTCTGCTACATGTCTTTGCTAAAAAAAATCCCAATACATGTAAATTTATTGGTTTACGTGAAAGTTATAGCATCTACAAATGGCGGTGTATATATACTGGAATTTTTATTTATTTATACTAGTAATGGCGGCGATCAGCGACTTATAGTGGGACTGCGGCGGGCATTCTGACACTGGGGGAGAACTGACTAACTGTCACAGACATTTCCAGTGACACTAATACAGTGATCAGTGCTAATGACACTGGGCAGGAAGGGGTTAACATCTGGGGCGATCAAAGGGGTTAACTGTGTGTTTTACTGTGTGCTAATCTTTACTGTGTAAGCATGCTGCTATGTATTGCTCTGCAATACAAAGCGGTGTGCAGGAGCTGACAGGGGAGAGATCTGTATTGTTTACATACAGACCTCTCCCCCATCAGTGATACTCGGTGATTGCCGGGGTGTTGGTGGTGAATCTCCATCCGGGACCCTGTGATCGACAACTGTAGCTGCTAATGGTGGTGCAGGTAGGGCCTCCTACCTGGAAATAAAAAAATTGCGTATCTATGCGTGATTTTGTGCAGCCCTGCTGCCCTGTAGCAGTAGTTCTGCTATAGGGCATTCAAGAAGCTGTTAAAGTGTGACATGTTAGTTATCTGTTTACGTAAAATCTTTTATATTTTTACCAAAACAATTTGGGTATTCTATTATGTTTTTATGTGCATTAAATTACATTAAAGTATTGTTTCCTAAAAAAAAAAAAAAAAAATTGCAATTGAAAAACTGCTGCGTCATTACAGAGTAACATAAAAAATTGCAGAATCCATCATTTCATTCTCTAGGGCCTATATACAGCGGATAAAAAAAAAAAAAATTGAACACTTCTCCTTTTTTCTAGGTAAATATATTTTTAAAGGTGCTATTGACATGAAATTTTCACCACATGTCGGTAACAACCCATGCAATCCATACATACAAAGAAACCAAGACAAATAATTTCAGAAATATGTGTAATAAAATGGAATGACACTGGGATACAGTGTTGAACACGGTAACTGAAATTTATTTAGTGCTTCCTACAAATTCCTTAGTTGGCAATGACAGCTTCAAGATGACTCCTGTATGGAGAAACTAGTTGCATGCATTGCTTAGGTGTGGTTTTGGCCTATTCTTCAAATCTTGAAGGTTCAGTGGGCCTCTTCTATGAACTCTGATCTTTTAGTTCTCCCTGTAGATTTTCTATTGGACTAAAGTCAGGTGATAGGCTGGACCATTCTAGCGGCTTTATTTTCATTCTTTGAAACCAATTAGGAGTTTCCTTAGCTTTGTGTTTGGGATCATTGTCTTGCTGAAATGTGAGGAGCACCTGGTCGTGGCCAGTTTATGGTGCAATGATGCTCTTTCCACTTCTGGATTATGGCCCCAACCGTGTTTACTGGAACATTCAGAAGTTTAGAAATCCTGTAACCAATGTAATCAGTATGTTTTGCAACAATAAGGTTGCGAAGGTCTTTAGAGAGCGCTTTGCTTTTACCCATCATGTGATGTTTCTTGACACCTTGGAGATGAGACACCTTTTTTTTTGGCCATCCGTTGAGACTGAACCAGCTGATATTTGCACTGACAAGGGGCATTTTAATTACTGATAGATTTCAGCTGGTGTCTTGGCTTTCCATGCATTTTTGCACCTCCCTTTCTTCATGTGTTCAACACATTTTTTCCTTGTGTCATTCCATTTTTATTACACGTAACTTCTGTACATTATTTCTGAACTTACTTGTTTTTGGTTTCTTTGTATATATGAATTGCATGGGTTGTTACCAGTATGTGGTGAAAATGTCATGTCAATAGCAGATTTTATCCTATCTATCCAGATTTTTTACATGTATGAGAAATGTTAGAATTTGCCTGGGGCTCAAGTGGTTAAAGAGTATCTGTTTGCTGCAGTAAGTGTACTGGATAACCCCTTCTGGTTTGCTTACCTTTGTCCTCCTAGCTGCCCATGTAGTTTTGTTTCTGTGATGCTTAATCTTAAAACAATTTATTACAATTTATAGGTGACTCCTGACGAACTGAGATACCTGACAAGAATTCACTACAAAGCTCAATCAGATGGCATCTGGGGAGAGCATGAAATAGATTATATCCTGTTTGTACAGAAGGATGTCACTGTAGATCCAGATTCCAATGAGATTCAAAGCCACTGCTATGTATCCAAGGAGGAACTGACACAATTACTGGAAAAGGCTAAGCGAGGAGAAGTAAAGATTACACCATGGTTTCAGCTGATTGCGGACACTTTTCTGTACAAGTGGTGGGATAACTTGGAAAATCTGAAATCATTTGAGGATCATGATAAAATCCATCGGATGTGAAGATGACCGCAAAATAATACTTTATTGCATGTAGTGACATGAAGTATGCGACGCTGAACAAGTGGTTCATTTTCACAGGATCTTTTCATTTTTTAAAAGCTGCACACTGCTGAGCAATTTTCTCTACCTTTTGTAAAGTGCTCTTTAAGTCGGCTAGTAAACTCTAATACCATACATGAAATGGAGGAAGCGGAGACTCCTTTAGAAAGGCTGGAGATATTCCCATAGCAACCAGATTCTGAATTTTAACTTTTGGCACATTAAATTTGACATTTGATTTGGCTGTGTGCAATAACACTTAACATCATTTTATACTTTAGTCCCAAAGTGGTTTCTACAATTAAGAATTTGCTGCAAAAAAATTTAAATTTTACTATCTTGTATGTTAAGCTTTTCAATAATTAAACTTCTCTGTGATGCTTGTGTGTTATCAGTTAATGTGCTTTTTAAGTTTTGATGTACTGCATAGGGTGCTGTTCAGTGGGTCATGGATCTGGAATCTAAAGATCTAACATCCAAGGGGGTTTTTTTTTTTTTTTTTTTTTTTTTTTGATTTAATTAAACCAGACAATGGTACATGTCAGATCTTCAGATGCACAAAACATAGGCCCCTTTTCAGATGGGGTGGATCCACTTGCTCAGCGGGTGATCTCACCGCTGAGCAAGCGGATGATGGGTCTGTGTCCACTTCGCTAATGCAGAGTGGACACAAACACAGCCCGCTGCTCTCTATGGGGCAGTTGAATGGAAACGGACCGCCTGTCCTTTTTCCACCTGACTGTCACTCGATCCACCGGACGGATGGGGAACTGATCCCCATCTGCCTGTTTTTCGCGGATCGGATGCTGGTAGGTGTCAGCGGACACATGTCTGCTGACACTCACCGCTCCATAGGGAGCTATGGATGGTCCAATCAGGTCTGCCTGAAATATGGACAGGTGGACCTGATTGGACTGTTAGTGTGAAAGGGACCTTTCGAATTAGTGGGTTTGTTTTTTTCTTTTCTTTTTTTTTTATTCTTGCAACGGCAATTTCTTTTGTTTGAGTGCTATCCAGCTGCTTACTGTAGGATTGGACATTGGGGGGAAAAAAAAAAAAAAAACCAGTAGGTCAAGCCATGAGAACTCCCCACTGTGTCAGCAGGATCCTCCTGAGTCAGTTCTCAATGAAATTAAGAAAATACAGTGAAGGAAATAAGTAGTTGATCCCCTGCTGATTTTGAATGTGTGCCCACTCACAAAAAAATGATCAGTCTAAAAATTGAATGGTAGGTGTATTGTAATACTGAGAGACAGAATAGCAACAAAAATTTCAAAAGAAATGCATGTCTAACAAATTATGCACTGATTTGCATGTTCATGAGGGAAATAAGTATTTGATCCCCTATCATTCAGCAGGATTTCTGGCTACCAGGTGTCTTTCATACAGGTAACAAGCTAAGATTAGAAGCGGTCTCTTAAAGGGAATGCTGCTAATCTAATTTTTTACCTTTATAAAAGACACCTGTCCACAGGAGCAATCAATCAGATTCCAAACTCTCCACCATGGCAAAGACCAAATAGTTGTCCAAGGATGTTAGGGACAAGATTGTAGACCTACACAAGGCTGCACTGGGCTACCAAACTATCTCCAAGCAGCTTGGTGAGAAGTTGAAAACAGTTGATGCAATAATTCGCAAATGGAAGAAACAAAACAACTGTCGGCCTCCCTAGGTCTGGTGCATTATGCAAGATCTAACCTCGTGGAATGTCAATGATCATGAGAACAGTGAGGAATCATCCCAGAACTACACATGAGGATCTTGTCAATGATCTCCAGGCAGCTGGGCCCACAGTCACCAAGAAAACAATTGGTAATATACTACGCTGACAAGGATTGAAATCCTGCAGTGCCCGCAAGGTCCCTTTTGTGATGGGAGTCGCTTTGGGTCGGGGGCTCATGGAATCCAGTTTACTTTACAGAGGTTGGGAGACCCCTGTCTCAGCTCCCCATATCCCTCTTATGTGCAAGTCACACTGTGTCTTTTAGGGGGACAGGGTGACTAATGGACGCTGAGAATGCGGTTGGAATTACTTCAGATGGGACAGTAATATTTATCAGCCATATGAAGACTATTCCTGGTTGTTGATTCTGAACTAGACATGTGAATTGAAGGAGCTGGACTGTCTGCTCTGTAGTGAGATCCTAATTCATCAAACCATTTTCTAGGTGTGAATTCCCATTCACCTTTTGTTTAGATCACCCAGCTAGCTAACCTAATTAATTTACTGTTTAGAGTGTTAAGTCTATTTCTGTATATAGCTGTGTTTGCATATGATCATGTGACCATTCTCTGTGTATTGTATAAAAAGCCTGTTTGTCTGAACATGGAACACTTTACTTTAAACTCAAACTGGTGTCATCTAGTCTTGTATGGTCGGCTGTGGTGTCTGTTGTTGGTGTTCGAACTGGGAAGCGGTATTCTAACGGAAGTACTCAAGTGCAGTTTGTCGGTTCCGTTACACCTTTGCTCAAGAAAGCACATGTCCAGGCCTGTCTGAAGTTTGCCACGGAATATCTGAATGATGCAGAGGAGGACTGGTTGAAAGTGTTGTGATCAGATGAGACCAAAATCGAGCTTGCCGTGTTTGGAGGAGGAATGCTGCCTATGACCCCAAGAACACCATCCCAACTGTCAAACATGGTTACATAGTTAGTTGGCTGAAAAAAAGACAAAAGTCCATCCAGTTCAACATAGTAAAAAAAAAACATTCTCCTTTTGGGGGTGTTTTTTCAGCTAGGGGGACAGGACAACTGCACCGCATCAAAGGGACGATGGACAGGGCAATGTACCGTCAAATCTTGGGTGAGAACCTTCTTCCCTCAGCCAGGGCATTGAAAATGGGTTGTGGATGGGTGTTCCTGCATGATAATGACCCAAAAACACATGGCCAAGGCATCAAAGGAGTGACTCAAGAAGAAGCACATTAAGGTCCTGGAGTGGCCTAGCCAGTCTCCAGACCTTAATCCGATTGAAATCTGTGGAGGGAGCTGAAAGTTCGAGTTGCAAATGTCAGCCACCAAACCTTAATGACTTGGAGAGGATCTGCCAAGAATAGCGGGCCAAAATTCCTCCTGAGATGTGTGAAAACCTGGTGGCCAGCTACAGGAAACGTCTGACCTCTGTGATTGCCAACAAGGGATTTGCCACCATGTACTAAGTCATGTTTATGAAGGAGATCAAATACTTATTTCCCTCATGAACATGCAAATCAGTGCATAATATGTTAGATATGCATTTCTTTTGAATTTTTTGTTGCTATTCTGTGTCTCGGTGTTACAATACACCTACCATTTGATTTTTAAACTAATCATTTCTTTGTGAGTGGGCAAATGTTCAGAATCAGCAGGGAATGAAATACGTATTTCCTTCACTGTATGTAAGGTAAATAATAAGATCACGGCAAGATAGATCTCGAGGAGATATTTCTGAAGAAGTGCTAAATATCCTTAGAAATAATGAGCATGTTATCAGGCAAGCAGATAAGGGGGTGGTCTTGTTATACAGGACCATACAGCCTATTTGACAGAGGCCATGAGACTGATAGGTGATTCTAGTACTTACGAAAAATTAACTAGAGACCCTCTCCCTGAATATAAGAATGATCTAAAAGGGTTATTGATTGAGGCTGTCAGCAATAAAGTACTAACCTGCGTGGATCTGAGTGACCAGGGAACTGGCTGGTGATACCAGGAGGGGATGAGATTGGAGAGTGGAGACAAGGAGGCTAAATAGTGTTGAGGACTTCCCTAGATTGCACCTTACAACGATTTTGAGATTTTGTTCTCTGGTAAGGGTATATAATCTATAAGCATGAGAAGTGAGACACCATTGTAGTGAATACACTGAGTGTAACACATCACTGTTGTGGCACAAGTTGCTGTGGTTGTTTTTTCTCACGTTATTGCACTTATATAAAACACGTGTGGAGTGCTATATATTTTAATGGTAATGCACTATGTGGAGTTTTTGATTTTTTTGAGGGTCTGTGTGGAAGCTGGCCTGTGAGGATCTTCAAACAATACAAAAGAGTGATTTCGAGTGGTACATTTTATTTTTCTTTTTTCTTTTAATTTTTGGAATATAAGACATTGGACACTTATATATAGAGTGTATATGTGGCGGTACACTGATTATTTGGATAAGCACTAATTATTGTTGTTCATAATATTCTGTGAATAGGGTATGTGTCACTAGTGGTGGGTGGATTCTTTTTAGAAAAAATATTTTTTGATGTTTAAATAGCTGCCAGCATAGAGAGGAAAAACCTCTAAGACCTCTAGTTATAATGTATATAAATATAAAGTATGCAGCGCTATAAAGACAATATATAATCACAAATAACCGTGATAATAATTTAAACGTAAAAAGCAAATTTTCAATGGCGTTCGGCAAAGCTGAAGAACATACAGAACAGTCTCGTGAAAATCCTGGAAAGGTGCATCAAGTGACAATTGTGATAAATCAATGAAACCATACAGTGTAAACATCCGTGATTCCTGTGGCTATGAAAAATGTATATATATTGCACTAACCAGATAGCGCAATCCATTGCGCATTGGAGTATATAAGACCTACTCCTGGGTGCTCAGGATCTGGAAACACTGTAGATGGATGAAGTCATCAGGGCAGAAGCAACCACCAGGTGTCATACATCCAGGACAGGTTACCAGTCTTCAGCTCCACAGATCTCAGCCACCAGGGGGATCATGCACACATGTATACGTCAGGTCAGGAATCACCTTCAAAAAGGGGGTGCTCGCAGGAACAAAACAAGCCCAAGAGAAGAAAGGCTCCAATGGTGTAGTAATTTTATTACTCAAAGTAAAAGTGACATCAAAGGCAAATGAACACACACTTACATTTAAAAATCCAAGATGGCCACCGGCCGTCCATAAGGGCCGTGCAGTGTGTTAGCAATGGTTAGGGGCACCCGTACTAACGCGTTTCGTGTATTTGT